AACTGACAAACCATCTCCGCTCAGAATCATTTTTCGTATACAATGATTATAATATTATATCATTGAATTTAAATTTAATACCATCCATTACCTACTGTAACCTGCTATACAACAGAAYTATATCCACTTAACCACTTTTTAATTTTAATAATTTACCTGACAGAATATTATTATCTTGCTACTTGCTTCTACATTTTCGCTTCCAAAATAGTTTTGAACAATTTTTTTCAATTCTAATAGTTTGGGGTGACTCCAAGTCAAGTCCTATAAAATAATTTTACTTGAAAAATAATCTAAAAAATTTTAATGATTTATTATAACTAAATTACCTGAGAATTTAATTCTTTGTTAATACCGTGCAATAGATTTTGAAAGTCAGCATCATTTGATAAACATTTATGATTTTCTTTCATTTCTAAGTAAAATACAAAAATCAAACATAAAATATCATTAAAACATATTATACAACATTCAATGCTTTAATTACCTAACGATTGTAAATAAAATACTTTGACACCATAAATTATCAATAATTCTAAAGCATATGCCAGTGACATGCATATAGTAAAATCATTTATTAAACTACCAGTAAGAGATTTTGGCATATCACGGGCATTATTAGTGGTCAAAAATTTTTGCTTGGCACTGAATATCTGGAAAAAAAATACAACTTGCGTTAAACTAAAAAATGATTAAAATATTATTATTATTATTATAAATATTAAACATACTTTGATTTTAATATTACAGTGATATAATCACCATACTTACTTGAAATTTTGTTAAATTAGCAACATTTCCATTTAGGGCACGGTACTGTTTTAAACGTCTTAAGTATTTATCATAAATCTGAAATAAATTTTATTAAAACAATACAMTATAATACGTGGTTTTATAAAAACAAAACTGTAAAATTATATTWTTTTTTTCATGATTTCTATGTCTATTTCTATTTTGTATAATATCATAAAATTATAGTCTAATATTACTCTAACCATTAAAAATTTAGTTCGTATATCCAAGATAGTATTTGTAAGTTTCACTGATATACATTCAACATCCTTTTTATTTGTATATTTTGCTACATCAGGAGATTCATCTGTTCGAAACTCTAACTTTGATATATTTAGATTTTGTATCACCTCAGTGACCGCTTCTACATTAGTTCCAGGAGTAGCTGATAATCCGACAATTCTAATTACTCGGTTTTCTTCAGCTAAACGTTTTAAGACCTGTAAGAATACAAAACAATAATCAAGCTGATGTTATGATTATTTCAATTTATTAACAGTATTTATAATATTTAATAACCTGAACATAAGCATAATCTTTGGTAGCTCGATGTGCTTCGTCCACAATAATACATCTAAATGTATCTGATGGACATTTATTAAGGCTCAAATCATTGGCCAAAACTTGAGGTGTCAGAAAAAAAACTCTATATTTATTCCACGCTAAATATCTTTGTTCAGGTGGGATATTACCTAGAATTGAATTAAGTTTTATTAAAGTTTTTAATATTTTTATAAAAATATAATTACAGTTGGTAAACGTCTTAAATGAGATTTCAATTAACTAAAACAATATCATGAATAACCAAAATAAATTACCTCTAAARATTCTTAAAAATGTTATGATTTCAATTAATTAATCATTTTATTTTTATAACTAATAATAAAATACCCTGGATCGAACATAACTAACCAGTCATTTCRAATGTTGTTTCCCTAGGAATACCCATTATTGAGTGGCAAGCTTCGATTTGTTGAGCAACTAATGGTCTTGTCGGTGCCATAAATATAATTTTACTCATTGGATACCATCGGTAAAAATTGTACATGACCACCGCAGCTATAAATGTTTTTCCCATG